GGAGGGTCATAGTATTGTCGCGCGCGCTTCGCGCGCTGCACCGCCTATTCTCCGCGGCTGTGTGACGACGCGTGCCGTGTGCCAGCAGAGTTGGGCGCGCGCGGCGCGACGGCGCCCGCGAGGGAAGGCGCGGGTGCAGCGGCCGCCGGCGGCCGTACCGCCCGCCAGCCGGCGCAGCAGCGGCCAGCGCAGCGGCCGCCGGCGCAGCAGCCAGATCAGCCGGTGCGCGCCTTGCGAGGCGAGTACTGCCGCCCGGCAGCCTTGAGGCGGCCGGGCGGCAGTACTCGTTCGAACTTTGCGAGCCGTGCGCGCGCCGAGGCGCCCGCGGCGCGCGCCCGCCCGGCTGCCAGTAGGAGGCGGCGCAATATGGCCTATAGTACAGCCCTTGAGGAGGAGGAAGAGGCTGGCTGGCAGTGCTGTATGCCGCCGAGGGGCAGTTTTGGGGTGCTGACCCACGCCCAGCGGGCTGCAGAACGCGTCCGCAGCCGGGACAACCCGCCCCCCCAGCCGAGGCCGGTCGAAGCCCACTTGCAAGCAGCCATGAGGAGTCCTCTTGGTGCTCCTGGCGCCCGTTGGAATGGCGAGCGCGCGCCGATGGGGGGGGGGGGGGGTCTTGCTTGCTCCACACCGAGCGCCATCGGTCCGGACCGGTGCCTCCACCGAGGGGTGGCCTGCACAAGGTCTGAGCCGCGGGCGCTCGGCGCCAAGTGCAGTGTCACGCTCGCGCTGGAGCGGGTCACAATGGGAAACCCTCGTTTCCTATGTACTCGGTCCCCCAAAGGAAGAGGCCTCGCTCCTATTGGAACTGGCCAACATCAGATTTGCCTCGTGCGTCCCTTTTTGAGTCGGAAAGCTATTTTCTTTTGGGTCCTGTGGGCACCCTATCGTGGGAGGACGGCACGCCGCCACCACACAGGGATTTTAAGGAGAGGAGTGTGGTGCTAGCCGTCGCCCACCCTAACCCTTGGAGCTTGGTCGTCTGCCTCTTTCTATCTCCCTTCGCAGTCCCTCGCCGATTCTCGCATCTCGCTGCAACCTTCATGCCACCTCGCGGTCGTCCCACTCTGGTCTCGTCGTTCTCCCTCCTGCCGCCTCTGTCGCGTCGCTCTCGTCTGCCTCGTCCTGCGACGCCGCCGCCGCCTGCCAACCCCTTGCTCTCGCGGCTTCTCCCACCTTTCGACGCAACTCTGCCCTCCTGGCGGCATATTTTGGCCCCTCGAGTTTATCGAGCTCTCCTCGCGCAAGGAACACAAACACTCTCTCACAAACACTCTCTCTCGCAAGGACGACTCTTCGGACGCCCACTGCGATCATTTGCCGCCGCCAAGTCCTCTTGTTGCTCCGTTCTTTCTCCGCGCAACACTTGGAGCACTTGGAGTGCAGTTATCAACCGCACATCCAGGGCCGGGGAGCTCAGAAGCGCACCCAGCGGGCCGGATGATTGGCATCGGGTTACGGGCTAGAGAGCCCTAGCCCCGGGGGTGCGCGTTCGCAGGGCCATAACACGTCTCCGAGGGTTGGTTCTGCGCTTTGGGTTTCCCCTAGCTGCGGAACGCCCCCTCTACTCGGAGCTAAAGAATACTCTCCGAGGGTTGGACCCGCGTACCGGGTTTCCCCTTAACTGCAGAACGCACCCTCTACTCGGAGCTAGTGGACACGACACTAGCTACTGATACGAGAATACATACCGCCCCCACGCAACTACTCGAAGATAATACGAGAATACGCAGCTGCGAGACGCCTATAAAGAAACAGCGAGGTAAAGTTCGGCGGCTATGATAAACCGAAAGTTGTCGTAAAACGCGGGCGAAAGCAAAGCAGAGGGCGGGCGCTTTCTGCCGCAGCGATGCCCGCAGCCTGTCGAGCAGCTTCCGCGGCGCACATGCGCCGCGGGGTTGAACGACAGCCGCGCCTCTCGAGCCACCCGTGCCACGCGCGGCGACGCGCACCCTGCGCGCCAGTCGGCGCACTGGCAGTACTGCACCAGCCAGCACGGCGTGGAGCAATGCATCCAGGGCATTGTGTTGGGCGCCAGCCAGCATGCCTCAGCACAGAGCAAGAGCGCATGCTGCGCACCCTGGCGCAGCACCAGCTCGCCTCCAATCAGGCACTCTCACCACTGCACAGCCGCCCACGAGCGCCCGCAGCTGCACTGCTCAACGCTCAAGCTCAGGAGCCTCCCCTTGTTGTCGCAGCTTTGTGCAGTGCAGCGTGCGAGCAGCGCAGCGCCAGGCAGACCCGTGGCACGCCCGGGCGGCTGTGGGACGGAGGCCCGCCGAGCGAGTGCGAGCCGCATCGGCGGCCATGTCTCCCGCAGCCGCGAGCGAGCGGTGCAAAGAGGCAGCGTCGCGCATGCTTTTCCGTCGCGTGCTCTCTGTAACACAATTCTCTTTATTCGTGGTGCAGCGCGCCTGAACAATATAAGCGGACAGCAGAATGTCTCGACTCGCGCGAACTGGCAGGCAGTCGCCGCCTTAACACACCACCCACGCCGCCAGGGCTGCGCCGAGCCCGCCCACTGCACGCCGCTCGCCGTGGGAGCTGAGTGTGTCAGCGTGCCGCCGTCACGCTGAATGAAGGCTTGTCCTCTGTGCGCAGGCTCGCCCTCCAGGGGCCGGCGCGTGCGCGGCAGATCTGGGGTGCGGCGCCGCAGACGGAGCCCGACCTGACCATCCCGATGGAGCTGACGTGCTCGACGCCCGTGTTTGAGAGCCCGACGGCGACAAAGGCGCGCAATCCTCTCTCTGCGTCCGCTGGCAAGGCCTCCGCCAGCAGAGCGCGCGGCCCTCCGCTGCGCCGCAGGTGACGACGCTGAGCAACGGCTTGCGCGTCGCCTCGGCTGACATGACGATGCCCTCCACCTCGCTCGGTCTCTTCATCGACACCGGCTCGCAGTACGACGCCGTGCCAGGCACCTCACACATGCTGCAGCACATGGCCTTCAAGACGTCGGAAAACTTTTCGCACCTCAAGGTTGTGCGTGCGGCGGAGCTGATGGGCGCGCAGCTGAGCGCGGTGGCGGGGCGCGAGTCGATGGTGTACCAGGTCGACACCCTCAAGGAGTCGGTGCCTGAGGCGGTCGAGCTGCTGGCCGACACGGTGCTGCGCCCCAAGT